GTAAGTGCTGCTAAATTTTCCAGTTTTAATATTTTGGAGGCGTTAATGCAAAAGAGTAAAAATATATTTTCTCATACCTTTCATCCTTTGAACATAATTCTTTTCACGTACCTTTGGGGAAGTCTGTGAGTTATAGAACTGTTCTTCCTCTGAGATAAAGTATAAAATTATAAAAGAAAATTAGCAGCAGTTTGTAGAAAGTGTATAATTACTTGAGTGGTACTGAACACTTAATTTGAATGAATCTTCTCTCCCTAATTTTTTGGTTTTGTATTGTGAGGTATTATGGTCAAATGGTGTTAAGTTCACAAATAAGCTTTCATGTAGGAAGTATGTTATGCTGCCCAGGAACTATATATTGTAGATCATTAGTAGTTTCATAAATACATTAGGAGACTTTTGAATCATTTGAAGGAGAGATAGAAATAATAGATTTGCTAATTCCTTTTCTTCAAACATTCTAGCCAATATCAGGTAAACTACAGTACACCCCTGTGCAGTACTTGCTGTATTCCTACTAAACCACCGCTGTGCTACAGTTGAGCTACAAAAGTAATCTCTGCCTTATTGTCAGAAGAGAATTTTCAGTGGAACTTGGAGGAAAATAATTGGAGTAGTTGTTCATAGAAAGATTACTCAGTTCCTTTTGATAAGAGCTTTGACATTTGCTTTGTAATGCAAACACGCATTGGATTTTAGCAGATATGTTTTGCAGTTGGGTGGTTTTTTGTTTGCTTTCCATAAAAAGAGGAACTTTTAAAAGCCATTGTGAATTCTGCACAGAAGCATTAATTAGAATATATAATTCTACTATTCTGTATAATCAGAAAACAGAAATTTAAAGCTCAACAGAATAAAGCGTAAACTTTCCAAGAAATGTGTTTTTGTTCTAGCTCATTAACACACTGTCTCTGTTGGACAGCATTTTTTAAACACCATAAAAATTAATAGTGTATTTAAGAACTGCTTTATTGTCATGTTTCTTCAAATCCTAATTTAGACCTAGTGGTTAATTGTGCTGTCTCTATCATCAGAGCTTAGAGAATAGATACACCCTTTGGCTTCAAAATTTTCAATTTCCACTTTAATTTTTTGTCTTAGGTGAAAATGCGTTCTCTGGGTGAGGCGAGAAAGGAAGATTTCAGCAGAGGTTGTTAGCTAATATGCTAGCTCTTAGTCCTTCCAAATTTAACAGAGAAGAAAAAAAAAAGTCAGCCTGATTTCACATGACTAGAGTATTGAGAAAATGACTAAAACATCTTTGCTGTTTGTGATAGACTCTTTCAAAATAACTAGATGTAAAATTGCTCATTTTGTGTCTGTTCTAACTTGTTCAAGCATTTCTTCCCTGTTTAGAATCAAAAATAGCTAAGCAATTGAATTTCTTGTTAGTTTAGTTTGGGTTGTTTTCCTCATTTGGTAGTGTATCTGCTTTCTGCTTAGTATTTCAAAATTGACCATTTTGAAAATTTCTGTCTCATTCACTTTAGATCTTTGGCAATTACGAGTTCCTTTAGCTTTTTTGTCCTTGAGCTTTAACTGTCTGAATAAATTCTCCCTCTTCCATTCCCAGCATAAGTTTTCTTTGATCTCAAATTTCTGAGCAAGTTTGGCAAAGTCACTGAGACTAGCCATCTCTTTATTTCCTGCATTTTTCCATTGATATCTCTTCCCTTAAATTATATGTATTAAGTCTAGATGATGATGATGACTTCCCTTCATAGTGTTTCAACCTGAAATGAATCTTTCATATCAGGTCAAAATAAATGGATGTTTCTCTAATTATTTAGTGTGTTTCCATCTTCTGTGTTATTCTATGCTCTTCTGTCTAGGTTTCAGCTGTTCCAGCTACTTAAATCTTCCATGAGTTGTGTGGTCCCATGAATACAGGTCTCAGGAAAGATCCTCCCTCCTCTGCCACTTCATCAAAGGCAGTGACTATCATCAAGTCACTTGAGAGACTCAAGTGACTTCTTGAGTTTGCACTTCTTGCTTTTCTTAACCTAAGCATCTTTAACGCTGTATTTTCAATCTTGTCAACATAGTTCCCTAATACTTGTAAACTGTTACAGTTAATACATAAAGTGCTCAATGCAATGTGCATCTATTTTCCGATACAGTCCACAAATGATTTCTTGTTCTATTCCTAGCTGACCTATACCAATTTTTCTTAGAGAACCTGCTGCAATCTTCTCATTGTACTTATTTGCTGTTCTCCTTTTGTTCCCTCTCTGCCTCCTACCTTCCCATCCCCCTTTTCTTCCGCAGGTACATATTACTTGTTTTTTTTTCTGGTCCACAAGAACTAATGAACTTTACCTATGACCTTCCTAACATTTGCTTTCTGATCTGAGGTTCTATCCTGTGATTCTCTCTCAAGTGGACTAGTTATCATTTAAATTTGGTTGAACCTCTTTCTAGCATTTAGCTTGGAGTTTGCAGTTTCTTTTTCACACCTTGTAAGAAATTGTGCACTCCAAAACTTGGCACTTTCTTCCAAGTATATTAGCCAATGAAAAAAAGATGCAGTAACTTTTCCTACAGAGCTCACTTTTCTCATGTCCTTACAACAACATGGTTACAACAAAGTTAATACTATTCTTCTTGTATTCACATGGTAATATCACTTGGCAGTCTTCATAACATTCTTGATTTATGCAGCATAGTGAAATAGCTCAATCACACTTGGCTACAGTTTCGTGTGATGTTTAATGCAATCTGAAAGTGGATTGCTGCTGAAAAGTGGCATTCTCTTTTCACATCTTGTGGTACATTTCAACTCTGCATAAGATCTAATAATTATATGACCTTAGGATAAGTTGATCATCTTGCTGATTTAACAGAAAATTATTGTCCACAAATTTCCTATGAGATTTGTTGATCTGGCTATTGACATGACTAGACTGTTTGGCATCAGCTAAGCAATGAAGTTTCAGGAGGACCATGCCTTTCAGAGACAGCTTACAGTTAAATAAGGTTAAATATAACAATAACAATTTCATGTCTGTATTACTCTTTCCAGCAACACACTGTCAGGCTTAGATATAAAATCTTGAATTTACTGAAGTTAGAAGTAAACCCTATGTTGATATGAGTGGGTGTTTCATCTTCTTTTACGTTGAAACTGAAGGTAGCTTCAGCACCTTTCTTTGAGAGCAAAGAATTGCTTATTTAGTAACTTATGACTCTTTTCGTTGTAACTTCTTTTCTTACCTTTTTAGGAAACTGTGTAAGTGCCGTCTTCAACAGTATACTGGTTTGTGTATTCAGAAACAAGAGGCACTGGTCTCTAAGAATATTGCTTTTAATATATTAATTCTGGAATTTAAATATTTCTGGAAAATTTTGTGCAGAAAGAAGCTAATGGGTCATACCAATTTGATTTATGCAATAAGTACATTTTCTTTATGGCCTTTGTCTTGTCTTGCTGATTTTATTTTCTTGCTGCTTCTGCTTCACCTTTCACTGTCTCTTTGCAGCTTTTCCCAGTTTCAGCATTAGTCATAACCTAACTGTAATTAGTATGCATGTGTTCCACAATGCATGTCAGAAAGAGTTTAGAATTATATATCCACCCTACTCCAATGCAAATTGTAGGGTTTGTTGGCAAAAAAATGCCATATAACAGGAAATCACAAGCAGCAGTATGTAGGTTCATATCCTGCTGAAGGGCCCTGGTACCATGCACATAGTGGTCTCTTGCTGTAATAGAATGCCTTTAGCATTGCTCGTTTTTCAGAGTCCATGCTTATCTCTCTATTTCTTTTTTTACTACTTCACATCTTTCTGGTTTACTCCTATGAGATGACTGTGGGACAAGATGTCAGCTGGGCAGTGAGCAAATTAGCAAAGACTGTTCTGAAAGCAGGGCCAGTATTGTCAGTAAATTATAGAGCTCAGCAAGGGAGATACAGCTAAATATCATTTAATATTACTAACATGTCTGCTTCTTTCTGGTTCCTGTTAGAAACAAGCACTGAGGATCAGGGGATATTATGCAGTTGAAACGTGTTAATATGCTGGAAAATGTGCTGGGTTTTATGCTAGATCACAAATGGTGTTGTCAAATATTTATCTCTTAGTTACCTTAAAGGATGTAAAATAATGAGAGTGTTTGTTCTAGTAATGTTACCTCCTCTCCTGCTTCCTCTCTTTCTCTATTTTTTAGTTTGTTTTTATTGTCTGTTTATTTATCATGCCAGAGGCGGTACACACTGCTAATTTGTTTTATATAATTACATTTTACATTTACTGGGATTCTTTCAGTAGTCAGGCATATCATCGCAACCTGAAAATAATCCTTAAATATTATGGTAAAAGAAAGCTCAACAGTTGGATTGCTTTAAAAGTTATTGTAGAAAACACTGTGATTAAGACTCTTAATGGTGCTTTAGCATTGAATGTCTGACAGATGTAGAAGGTAAAAATAATTATGATGTTCTTCCACAGTTTTTACTGTTGATGTCTATAAAATTATGTGTATAGCTGGTTTTAGTTTTAATGCTGAATTTACATCAGTTATTTTGTTAACGTTACCTGTTATCCACTCTTCAGCCAGTACGGCATATTAGCTGACATGAGCATTATGTTTGTTTAGAAAGAGTAAAGTTGCTGTCTTTATTACATCTAATTAATTTATTTTGTACCATATTCCAGGCAGATGCACAAGTACAATAATGATTTTTGATTGTGTACAACAGCTCTAGACATAGGCTCAAGACAGACGGCTGTGATTAAAACACATCAATCAGCTGTAAACTGATTGTAAAACTTCGGTGATACTGATGACTAAAGAGAACATACTGCTGCTGGATTAGCCTGCTTGCATTTGCAGTAACAACTTTAATGAAAATCCTGGTTTAGTAGCAGTAGGACATTTCTTTGTTACTCCCACTCCCTAACCCTCCCCATTTCCTGTAGTTGGAACTCTCATTTTTTATGTAATCTTAGCTGGCACTATTTCTGACACTATCTTCTGCTTCCATCGGCTTATTTTCTAGATGGGAAGTGATGGTGTTCTGCGCCTCAGTAGTTCCGCTCTAAATAATGAATTCTTCGCATATGCAGCACAAGGGTGGAAACAGCGATTGGCAGAAGGTAACTGTCTACTTGTTCTCATATTTGCGAAAGGTTAATTGTTTTTATGAATGACATCCTTGTTTCTACATTTGAGAAATACTCCTCGAATAGAAATTACTACACCAGTAATTCAGCAAAATTGCTGATTCCATTTTTAACTCAGTGTATGCTTTTACAGCTTGCTGTGGCAGCTTATTCTGACAGTTTAAAAAGAAACAAAGCTTTTTCATCACTGCCAGCCTTGGAAACATAAATGCATGCAACTAAATCCTACCAATATACTTCTAAAATAATGATATCATATAGTAATGTCCTGGGTTCAGCTGCAACAATTTTATTTCTCCTTATTAGTAGCTGATTCAGTGCTGTGTTTTGGCTTTAGTCTGAGAACAATGCTGACAACACACCAGTGCTTTTAGTTGTTGCTAAGTAATGCTTACTTCAATCAAGGACTTTTCAGTTTCAGCTTAAACCATGACAAGCAAATTAAATCTATGTCATGCTCACTTTTGGTTTTCATTATTTTTATTTGTTGGATGACTATAGCAGAAATCACTGTGTGTCATCTTTCTATCTGTAATTTGTAATTGCCCATATTAAGCTAATCCTTGACAGCTTTTATTCAATATGTTAGTATTTGTTTTTTAGGTGAATTTACACCAGAAATGCAGCTGCGCATCAGGCAAGAGATTGAAAAGGAAAAGAAAACAGAACCTTGGAAAGAAAAATTCTTTGAAAGGTTTTATGGTGAAAAGTAAGTATTGTAGCAAATAAAAGCACTTTTTTATTATTTTCCTTTAGGAGGAAATGAAAATGTAATTCTCTGCTTCACATAGCACAGTCATATGCTGTAAAACTTAATAAAGCAGTTATCAAAGGCAGTCATTGCCCAGTATATGAAGTTGTGGATAGAATTACAGCTGTGTGTCTGCACTTGCATTGCAATTGCATTTTTAAAGGTTCATAACTCATCCATAAAAATTCATTCCAAGGAGAGCTTAAGACATGAGGCCAAAGCATGTGAGTATTTTAATTAGCTTTTAAAAGAGAGCATTAGGGCAATTGTCCCCTCCTGCAAAATATAAATACAGAGACTACAGGCTAGAAGACCAGTGGAGATATTTCTGTGGTGTGTTTTTATTTGTTTTATTCTAAGCTACTTGCAAAGTTTCCAAAATCAAATAGAATTTTTTTATTGTTTTATTGTTTGGCTGACTCCCTTTGCTGGAGTGGAATACATGACATAGGAGAAACATCGGCTAGGGAAAAATGAAAGTGACAATGACCAGTCTAATTTTAGAAGTGCAATGCAAAGAATAAATAAATACCCTTAACTGACTAAAATTAACGGGGTAGTATCACTGCAGGAGCATAACTGGGGTAAGTCAGCACAATTTTGTTGACGATGATACAAAGATAGCATTCTGCAGCAACTGAAGATTCAGTTCTTATATTCACAGTTTTCTTAAAATCAGAATTTAAGTATATTCACATCTTGGCTTAAATTCAAGAATCTTCCTTATAAAATTGCTTTAAAAGGTTAATCCATCAGTACCTAGAATTACATCTCTCTTTTTTTAAATATTAAGTATTTAAAGTATTAATTATTACAAATTTTAAGCTAATTCTTTAAAAGTTACTAATTTTTTTTATTATTTTCTGTTATGTTTTAATGGAATTTATGCATAATATTTAGGAGACAAAACTGTGCCATGGGAACCATCATCACAAGATGTCTTAGTTTTGTTCATAAATATTTTTTAGTTAGGAAATACAGGTCACAGGGAACTCTTCATATAAGTGCTTAACTTAAAAATAAAGACATTAGCTCAAGTGTTTCTGTAGTAGCAATGCTACTTCTCACAGTCTACTGCCTTGGACCACTGGGAAATGTATTGAAAACAAGGCAGCAAATGGACAGACTTTCTTATAGTCAAGTGCTTAATTCCTTACTTAACAGCTTTGAGACCTCAATGTGTGTAGTCTAGGTGTTGATCCCTTTAGTATCAAAAAATATTAATTAGGTTTTTAAACAAGGAATATAGTGACTTTTCACTATGCATGTCAAAAGAAGGATAAGTACCAGAAAAGCATGAGTACCTCACTCTAGCTGAAGCCTCTTCCTCAGTCACAAATTGCTGTCACATGCACAGAGAATGATACTCATAATTTTACCAAGCCAGCAGTCCTGCCGTGCTAGCTGAGTGCTGGGCACTATAATGGTTGGCAGATAATTATTCAGTCTGCAGTGATACATGTCATTTGGGTTGATAGGTTCCTGACATCAGCATTGTTATGCAAAATGTCATATTGCACATAATTTCCATTTTGACCACAGTATTGAATCTGGGCTGCCCTGCCCTTTCCCCAGCTTGTGTTGTTTCCCTTGCATTCTTCTTCCTGGCTGTCATGTGGTCAGATCCTTCTATTTTGCTGTGGGCAGATTTAAGTATTTTTTCTCATGTACTGACTGAATGTTAGCTTTTGCTATAGTTTCCACTTTGTTTGAGTTCTCTCACCTTTTTTCACTTTGGTTTTTATGTTCGCTTAAACTTTGTCTCTTTTCAGCTATGTAGATTGACTGAAGTTGCAGATTTTGAAAGCTTCCCAAGCTATTTCTCATATGCCATGCCTACAAAACGGCTCTTTCCTGCAGTCAGAACTGCTTACTTTATAGTCAGTGTGGTATTTTTGCTCTGACTTTAGCTAATTTGATCTTTTAATATTCCATATGTAAATTCAAGTTTCACCTTATATTTAGAGAAGGACCATTAATAGATGCAGAATCTTTGTAAACATTTTTACACACTCCTCAGTTCATGGCATTCAAAGACTTTAGAGTGCTTCTTCCATGCTGGCTCTGTACATTATGTTTCTTGTGTTTGCTCTTATCTGTACCCAGGCTGTTTACCATGGGACTGTCAGCTGTAGTTTACTTCAATCCATTTATGTTCTCTTTCCATTTCCTTATGGTCGTTTAGTTTTCCTCTTTCTGACTTCCTTTAAATAACAAAAACTTCATTCTGCTGTCATTATCTAGGATCAGCGAATGCAAATTGCCAGAAATCCACATTCTTCTGGCTTGTTGCCCCAGGATGGCAAGTGTTATAGTCTATTGTCTCAATATATAATTTCTTTCCCCAGTCTTGAGAGAGTTAAATGTCAAAACAGTACTGCCAGCTCACAAAATCAAAGCTTCATTTTCGGATAGACCTCCTCTAAATTTTGTTGCTGATTTAATCCTTCTTTTTTTTTTCTTTTTTTCTTTTTTTAAATTATTATTATTTTTTCTGGTATTACTTTTCATAGCACTAGATAGCATAGAATCATAGAATAGTTAGGGTTGGATAGGACCTTAAGATCATCAAGTCCCATGGGCAGGGACACCTCACACTAAGCCATGCCACCCAAGGCTTTGTCCAGCCTGGCCTTGAACACTGCCAGGGATGGAGCCTTCACAACAACCCTGGGCAACTCATTCCAGTGCCTCACCACCCTCACAAGAAAGAATTTCCTCCTTATATCCAATCTAAACTTCCCCTGTTTAAGTTTTAACCCATTACCCCTTGTCCTATCACTACAGTCCCTAATGAAGGGTCCCTTCCCAGCATCCCTATAGGCCCCCTTCAGATACTGGAAGGCTGCTATGAGGTCTCCATGCAGCCTTCTCTTCTCCAGGCTGAACAGCCCCAACCTTCTCATACTATCTTCATATGGGAGGTGCTCCAGTCCCCTGATCATCCTTGTGGTCCTCCTGTGGACTTATTCCAACAGTTCCATGTCCTTTTTATGTTGAGGGCACCAGAACTGCACACAGTACTCCAAGTGAGGTCTCACAAGAGCAGAGTAGAGGGGCAGGATCACCTCCTTCGACCTGCTGGTCACACTGCTTTTGAAGCGGCCCAGGATGCGGTTGGCTTTCTGGGCTGCAAGCGCACACTGAAGCTAGCTCATGTTCATTTTCTCATCGACCATCACCCCCAAGTCCTTCTCTGCAGGGCTGCCCTGAATCTCTTCTCTGCCCAGCCTGTAGCTGTGTCTGGGATTGCTCCGACCCAGGTGTAGGACCTTGCACTTGGCATGCTTAAACTTCATGAGGTTGCATCAGCCCACCTCACAAGCGTGTTGAGGTCCCTCTGGATGGCATTCCTTCCCTCCAGCGTATCAACCGAACCACACAGCCTGGTGTCATCAGCAAACTTGCTGAGGGCGCACTCAATCCCACTGTCCATGTCAGCGACAAAGATGTTAAACAAGACCGGTCCCTGAGGGACACCACTCATTACTGCTCTCCAGCTGAACATTGAGCCACTGACCACAACTCTATGTGTGCGGCCATCCAGCCAGTACTTTATCCACCAAGTGGTCCATTCATCAGATTGATGTCTCTCCAATTTAGAGACAAGAATCTCGTGTGGAACAGTGTCAAATGCTTTGCACAAGTCCAGGTAGATGACATCAACTGCTCTACTGCTGTCCACCAGTTCTGTAGCCCCATCATAGAAGGCCACCAAATAGGTCAGGCAGGATTTGCCCATAGTGAAGCCATGCTGTCTGTCACCAAGCACCTTGTTGTTTTTCATGTGCCTTAGCATGCCTTTCAGGAGCATCTGCTCCAAGATTTTGTCAGGCACAGAGGTGAGACTGACTGGTGTGTAATTCCCCAGGTCATCCATTTTCCCCTTCTTGAAAATGGGGGTTATATTTCCATTTTTCCAGTTGTCGGGAACTTCACCTGACTGCCATGATTTTTCGAATATGATGGCCAGTGGCTTAGCAACTTCATTTGCCAGCTCCTTCTGGACCCACGGATGGATTTCATCAGGTCCCATGGACTTGTGCGCATTCAGATTTTTAAGATGGTCTCGAACCAATTCCTCTCCTACAGTGGGCCCAAGGTCTTCATTTTCAGGATATCAGCATCCATTTGTCATTGAGTAGCTATTTGGGGTTTTTTGGTTTGATGACTGACTGCCCTTACTTTACCAACTGAATCCTTTCCTTAGCACTTTCACTGGTGGCTCTCTACTGCTGTCCTATTTTTGTGCTATTTTGTGAACTTTGAGTGTCTTTTTGTCTATGGAAGAAGACAGATCAGCTGTTCATCTTGCAATCTGGGATTGCCTTAAGCATGCTGATCTTGCGTCTTCTTTGAAAGCCTTTCTCTTCACTGCAGTGTCTTCTTTAAAATGGTAGTATTTCCAATATTGTAAAAAACAATTGAGATTCAGTACATGTTCTTCTGGCCTTAATCTACATAATCGTATTTTTCTTATACTTATTCCTCTTCAGGATGTTACTGGAATGTGCATATTTGTGCAGTGTCCGTGTGACAGTTGCATTCAGCTTTACCCGTTATCTCATCCTTCATTTCTTTGCTGATTTTCATTCCAAAAGATAACTATCAGGCAATATCTTTTTGTGATGTAAGCCACCTAGAGAAAATAAACCACTGATTCAGTTTTGAGTAATGCAGTGGATTTCTTTTCTTCTCCCTCCTCATTTTCTTGAGATAACTTTTGCTTGTTTACACAAGGAATTATAGAGGAAGTAAGTTACTCACCTACACCTAGGTAAATTAGATTTCACTCACCTAAAGCTATAACCTAAACTTCCACTGTATAAGGAACCTATAGTCTATATAGAAGACACAGCTTCTGAAATACAGTCAATGTAGGAGATGTAAATTTGCTTTCCTGAATTGCTCTCTAGAGGATCTTTCCTCATCATATTGATGTCACAGGGTAGGGAGATTCATGCATGTTAGGTGAGTAGTAGTAGGTAATACTAATAGTTGAGTAGTAGTAGGTAATACTAATAGTTACCCTAAGAGTGCTTTTTGGGGTACAAATTCCAGTCTAGGTATTTCACTTATAACTATGTCTGTAATGCATCTATTCAGTATTTTTTAAATGCACAACCACAGGTTTGTATTTGTTACAAGTTTATTCTGTTTTTCCATAAACATGGGCTTTGTGGTCTTTTATCCTCTGATTGTACATTGACAAGTTATCTTGCTTCTATTATATCTGTATATCTTTTATGCTCATTTATTTCTGTATTATTCTTTCTTTTCTGATTAAAATAAGAACAGAGATCAAAATTCTGTTAATTAGATTTGAAAATCCTTAAGACCATGAAAATTCTTTTTAAGGTCTCCAACCAAGCTTTTGTGCGAATGTGTTATGAAACTGCTGATGCACAAAGTTAGGAAAATCTTACTAAAGTTGCTGAACTCCTCTAATTCCACAGTCCTTAGAAAAAAATGAGGGTGTCAGAGTGCATACTTTTTTTTAATAGCCATTTTTTTTCAGCCCTTGGTATTTGGTTTGTTTTGGTTTGTTGTTTGTTGGGTTTTTTTTTTAATTCTACTGAAGTAATTAAACTTTTTTTTTTAAGCAATATCTTCAGGACCAAAGGTAAAAAGATCTTTAGAAGAGAAGTATACATAGAAACTGTTCCTTTACTCTTCATCTCTGAGAATGAATTCATAGATTATAAATATGCGTCTTTTTAGCTTCTTAAGACTGTTAAACTTCTAAATTATAATGAAATCAAATTAATAGTATCTGCATCAATATGTTTATTTAGAAATAGTTTTTATCTTAATAAAGCATTTAGTTTGCTGACAGAAAGGAGCAAAACCACACAAGCTGTTATCCAAGATGTTTATAGTTTACTCTTGACTTGTAAAATAAAGCTGGAGTTATTTTGATTTTCATAAAAAAAATTTAATTACTGTCAAATTACAAAACCAAAATGCATGCTTTCCCTTACTAATTTCAGATGCAGCATTCAAGCCATAGTGCTGGCTGAGTTGACCCTTAATTCAGATGTAAGAGGAAAAAAATAGATTTCCTTTAGAACTGTTACTGATGAAGATAGAGTTGTGCATTTCCCCTGCAATGCATGCTGTAGTAGTACTACAGTGTTGTGCTGGCATTTGCAAAAAAAAAAATTAAACATAGTATGAGTGAGTAGCGGTGAATCTGTGTGCCTTATTTTTTTTGTTTCATTGAAGTGCCAAATACATAAATAATGAATAACAGATTACTTATTTTTAAAACACTTAAGTTTTTCTTAAAACTGGTAAGAAAATCTGTGTAATCAGGTTTCCAAAATATATAAAATCATGTAGAAATCAGTCAGACACCACTTAATTACTTTCAACTGTAAAATGTCTTTTTAAAATAAAATATGTTGGCAAGAAAGACGATCCTGTTCCTTTATCATGTCTGTGTTGAAAAAGACCTTTTTATTTGTGTGTTTTAGACTGGGGTTGTCACGAGGGGAATCCGTGAAACTCACTGCGGTGCAAAACAATGACGAAGATGAAAGCAGTTCTCTGTGTGGATCTTCTGGCACACCTGGTCCTTCTAAGCAAGGAACCTCTGAGGACCAAGAAGAGAAAGGTGCTGAAATTCCACCCTTATCAGAGAGAGATTATAGTCCATCTCTTCCTGGTATGGAACAGGTTCCTGCCAAGGATCTAACGGCAGACTCAGAGGATATACTGATACCTGAAGAATCAATCATTCAGGAGGAGATTGCTGAAGAGGTTGAGACAAGTATTTGTGAATGCCAAGAGGAGAACCACAAAACAGAACATGAATTTTCTGAAGAGTCAGTTAGCCCAGCTGGCACAAGTGAAGAAACAGAAGCAGTACAACTTACAGACAGCACTGAGTCCTGTGTCACAATGAATGAGGTAACTGATACTGTATCTCACATTGAAATTAAAGTGGAGTTGAAGTCAGAATGTCCTCAGGAAGAGATGTCTGTTGTGATAGATCAGCTGGAGGATTGCGTATCACCAGCACGATCAGCTTCATCCACAAACTCTGTCAGTGATACAGCAGAGAAGGACTCTGAGTCTGCAAAAGAGCTAATTGCACCAGAAATGCAAAATACTGCTGTGGAAGGGTCCTTGTTCACTGGTGGAGGCATTGCAGTAGATATGGAGCTTCAAAGTGACCCTGAGGAGCAGTCATCTGAGAATGCCTGTATTTCTGAAACTTCCTTTTCCTCTGGAAGTCCGGAAGGACCCTGTGTTTGTATTGCTTCTCCTGGAGGAGACACTCAGTCAACTTCAGAGGAACCCTGTACTCCAGCATCTCTTGAAACAGCTTGCTCATCCGAAGTGTCCAGTACTGAAAACATTGAAGGTGATATTCAGCAAAAGGCCAGTGATGAAAACTTGCCCACACCTCTAATGTCAGAAATCTCTCCAATGTCCACCTCACCTGTAACCTCAGAAGCATCTCTGATGTCAAATCTACCTTTAACATCAGAGGCATCACCAGCTTCTAATTTACCTTTAACATCAGAAACATCTCCTATGTCCGATTTGCCTTTAATGTCAGAGACATCTTCAGTATCTTCTGTTCTTCTAACTTCAGAAACATCCATGGCAAACAGTTTGCCTCTTCCATCAGAGACATCTCCAGTTTCCAATTCCCCAAACAATGAAAGACTTATTCTGCAACAAAGGAAATCACCATGTTTGTCAGAAGACTCCCTTCCCACTGTGAAAGAAGAAAGCTCTGCCATTCCTAAGGTGCTTCAAGAAGAAAATCTTGTTCTTCAGCCAAAGCAACTTCAGAATGTCCCTGAAAATATGAAAGTTGGTACACTAACAATTATACCTGATACTTCAGTATTGGAAGAGCCCCAAAACAAAACCCTCAGTGATCAGCCATGTAAGTCACATTCTGAAATGGATAAATCCTACATTGCACCCATCCCGGAACACTCTCCTCCAGAGGTGATGAAAAATAAAAATCACAGTGTTCAACAAAGAGGTGACAAGAAGGGTACACTCTTGCCATCAGAGGTAGCTGTCGAAGTATCAGTTGGCAAAAATATTGAATTGCTTCCATCAAAGCCACATGATAAACTATATACCTCATCTCTAGAGAAAGCTACATTCTCTGAAGCATGCAGAAGTAAATCTCACAAGCTAACAGGCAGCACCCAAAGCCGTCTGGAGAATTCACATTCTTCCAAGTCATTAGAACCCACAAAATCACCTGAAGTGAGGAATGAAAGTAGAGACCCAGAAATCCCAAAGAGGAAAACAGCAGAACAGCACAGTTTTGGAATCTGCAAAGAGAAGAGAGCTAGAATAGATGATGATCAGCCTAACCGAAGTGCTTCATCAACGAGTCCATCTGAGAAAGAACAGCCACCCAGGGAAGAACCCCGAGTTCCACCCCTTAAGGTAAAGTAATGAATAAACAGGCTGGCTTAGAAACTAAAGGTTTATTATCTCCCTCCTACTGACAGCATGCAGACACAGTGCACGGTATATTTTTTGTGGAGGTATGAGGGGTGTTAGTTTTGATGGTTTCACTTTACTATTACATTCCTACCGAGCCAAATTACTTTTGATATAAATATACCTATAGTTGTTTCATCATGGTCTTTGCTGCAGAACTGCTTTTGCGTGAGGGAAAGTTTTCCAGGACCTATGGCTCAACCTAATTCAAGAGCTTCCCCATCTTTTACACAGTGCTACTTGGGTTTTTTATTGCCCAACTATATTATCCACTTGTACTCCTGCATATGACTTCTCCAGCAAGCATGAATAATAAATGTTACCATAACCAATACCAAGAAAAACACCAGTGCCTTCATCCACCAAGAGAACCTATAGTCAGAATAGTTGGAGATCCCTTGGCAAGCCCAGGGTTTGGGGTAGACTGAAGTAGAAGATTTCACTGTAGACCTGGCTATCAGGGGGAAGTGTCTAGTTGATATATGTATACATATCTTTGTTAATGGCAAAGCAAAAGGTAAAAAACACACGCCAACTGAGCAAACATTTTTATGTGCATCATTCTGCTGTGTAAGAAAGTGGATTCCAGTTGAAAGCTTTTTTATTTTTTCCTAACAGAAAAATCTATAGATTTAGTTATATATAGGCTCAGCATTTTGGCCCTTTTAATTTTGTACATGATGACATCAGCCAAGGTTTAGATCCAATTTGCTGAACTTAGGCTATTGACTTTGCAATATTACTTCCTGATTATTCAGAAATGCCCTTTTCTGCATTTATTTTTAACTGCTGCAGTCCCTGAACATCATTAATATGGCTGGAAGGGCAAATAGGCTAACTGTTTTAATCACTAGTGCAGAAGCATATCTCAACTAATTTATTTTTACGAGCAGTGATGCAATTGTAAGTTAGTCCATTCTGAGTTTAGTGATATTCTTTCATATTTGGAAGGTCTCTGACTAGCCTAATAAATTCTAATCACTCTCTAAGCACAAAGGAAACTAGATCACTAGGGAATAAAAAAGGTCATGACTATAATAATAAAAATAATCAAGCACTTAAAGCTTTAGCAGTTCTGTTCATGCAAAGCAGAAACCGAAAAAAAAGATGTTACTGAAACAGAAAGCAAAATGTTTTGAAGTGATTGTGAGTTTGTGTTACTTGATGTTCACGTAAATGTTAAAGACTCACAGTATTAGGCATGACTATTTATAAACCAAAAATTTAACTGCTAGAAAAAGTGAAGTCATCCAGCCCTCCAGACCAGCATAGAGTTATAAGGTTATATATGGTTATATAAATGGTTATATATTACAATGCTATTTTAATATTGATTTCCACTGGTCTCTCATGGGAAATCAGATGCTGTTAGTCTTGCACAGTCTTAAGAGCTGAATCTTCCTGAAGCCTCCAGCCAGTGAATGAGAATACTGCAAGATTGGCAAGCATTTTGAAAAATAATTTTGTACAATCAATTCTAGTATGGCTTTTTGTGTAACAAACATTTGGCTTTTGGGTCATCTCGCAAAAAAAAATACCCTATCCTTGGTAATAAAAAGAGGAAAAGGAACCCCAGGTCTCCTAAGTCATTCTGATATACAACTGTCACTTCCCATCATATCTTATGACTACTTTCTCTACAGATATTACCTAGGTCTTTTCCTAGTTCTTTTCAGAAGAGAAGTCACAGTGTTGACCACCAAGTCCTCTTACTGTGCCCAGCCAGTAAACATATGTTCCTTTTAGGAAATACATTTTTTATATTTTTTTTTGGCAACCTTTGGGTATTCTGAAAGAGTGTTTAAGTTATAAAGTGGTCCCAGGACTTTAACCTCTAATCCTGAAAACAGATATGACTAACTGTAAACATACTAAAAATGCCAGTGATTTTAAAGGTTATTATTTTGCTTAAAGTTTTAGGTATTTAATACTTTAATATTTGCATTTTTAATACCTGTAGGTTTGAGGATTTCATTTTTGATATGCAGTAGTATAGGAGGTATCCCAGGGATGGACTAAAGTAAGTCTCTTAAAATTGCGAGTGAGGAAGGGAAAGGTGTATCCTTTGGTGATTCACTTCTTTTATACCACTACTCTAAAGTGCTCTGTGGTGCAACATGAAAAACAAGCTCAGTGGAGACACTACTTCATCTTATCTAAAGACAAGATTTGTTGTCTGGTATGCGAGAGAAAGGCAGGCAGTTCCTAATGTCTTAATCTTTGGAGACCAAGGAGGGAAAGCACTACATGGTCGTTATTTTTCCCACACATTTGCATCAAGTGCTTACTCGTAGGCTTTTTTCCAGTGTCACTGCACTAGGCTTGTTGATCTTCTCAGTTAGATACACTGCGTATAAAACAGGTCTGACAAATTGTATCAGATAAGCGTCATCTTGTCATTCACTTCAATCTGTATTCCTGTGAGTAGGATCAATGTAAGTAGGCTAATACAGATGCCAGTTACTCATGATATTGGAAGATAAAATACTGAAGTGTAAATATGATTAAATCTTAGCATTTTTCTGGTCAGCTGCACTGAACAGTAATTCCCTTCATTGCATTCCTCTGACCCTTTAAGAAACAGCAGTTTTAGCAAGTCCATGTTCTCACAAAAATTATTGGGTTTTTTCTTCCTTTAGATTCAGCTTTCAAAAATTGGACCACCTTTTATCATCAAGAGCCAGCCTGTTTCTAAACCAGAACCTCGAGTTTCCCCAAGTACATCGGTCAGCAGCGGGAGAAACACTGGTGCTAGAACTCTTGCAGATATCAAAGCAAGAGCTCAGCAAGCAAGAGCCCAAAGAGAAGCTGCAGCTGCAGCAGCCGTGGCAGCAGCTGCGAGCATAGTCTCTGGAGCAATGGGGACCCCATGCGAAGGTGGGAAGACAAGAACTCTGGCACACATCAAGGAGCAAACAAAGGCCAAGCTATTTGCAAAGCATCAAGCCAGAGCTCATTTACTCCAGACCAATAAAGAATCAAAGTCGCAGTTCAGCTCAAAGGAAAGTACCTCATCTCTGGAGATACCAACGTCTACTGACACAAAAATTGAGGGTTCTACTGGTGTCATTATAGTTAATCCTAACTGCAGGTCCCCTAGCAACAAGTCTGCTCATCACCGTGAGACGACCACTTTATTGCAGCCGTCACTTAGCACAGCTACATTACCAGAAACTGCTACTGAGATACCTGTGCACAGTTCTGATGAAAATATACCTATGCCACAATTGTGTGAGAAAATTATTTCATCTACCTCTACTGAAAGTAACAGTGTGCCAGTGCTTTATAATAAAAGTTCAGTCTCTGTGTGTGTTTGCAGCACTGCTATGTCTGGAGCAATTAAAGAACTTTCTTTTGCAAGTTCTGTTGATAAATCCTCTGTTTTAATGTCTGTTGACAGCGCAAACACAGCAGTTTCAGCTTGTAATATAAATATGCTGAAAACCATCCAAGGGGCTGATACTCCATGCATAACCATTGGACCAAAATGTATTGATAACAGTAATGTACCAGTCTCCATAGACAATACAGTCTTATCAAATGCCATTGATGACAAACGGTTGCCGATACCGAGTAGCAATGTGAATAACACAGTCTCCACTCATTATGCCACTGTGCCAGCTTCATCTATTGCAAATAACTTGCCAAATCATCTCCCTGGTAGTTCTGTACTGATTCCCCCAGTGGGGACTACCAACAGATTTTCTTCTGATAAGATAGCCATAACTGGGTGTAATGAGCAAAGCACTGTCTCCATTCACGCTACTGTTAGGTCAGCTTTAAGTTGCAGTGAGGCCCTTGCAGTAGCCGATCCTGTTGCAAGGCCACCCATGTCAATGTTTACTGGTAACATGGTGACAATAAACTCTTATGATAATGCTATTAAATTAAATGCTGATCTCTTAGAAAAAAGCTCTGGAGCACGAAACCGAATGGATCTCCCTGGTAAATCTCAGCCAGTGACCTTTACACAAACTGCCATGAACAGGTCTATACCTTGCAAAGTCATTGTCGACCACACTACAACTCTGAATTCCAGTCTGTCACTTTCTTCTTCTGTTGAAAATGCAGAGAACAGCATTGACCTGCAGAGCAGACCTGTAAGGACAGAAGCTGCCTTACAAAGTATAGCCTGTCCTCAGGTGTCTGTCATAAGCAGGCCTGAAGTGCTGTCTAATGAAAGCCTTGAGCACAGCTCCAGCTTTATCACCATTACAGCAAAGCAAGACAGCAAAAACTTGCAAGCAGGTTGTTCAAGTCTTCGAGAAGTGCCTCTTTCTCCTCAAGATAAATTAATTGAGGTGGTTACTCCCAGCCAAGGTTTTCCTGAGCAATTAAGAGGTCCTTCAGCATTGAAAAATGAAGCGGATGCTGCCTGTGCCAATCAGTATAACACTAACAATAGAATTTGTTGGCATGATGAAGAGGCAATGAGTACAGACCAGCCAGTGGTCAGCCACCTCAACCCCAGTAAGCATAAGGAATACTCAGAGCAAAACTGCTTGAAAAATGTCAAAACTGAACCTTCCAGTTACACGCAAATGTCAGAACTGCAATCCAGGAGTCTTTTGACAAGCATTGCTGTTCCCGTTAAATCGGAAACTAATGAGTCTGACAAGTGCTTCAGGATGGACACTGAGGATTTTACAGGATCTGAAATGCCTGCCCAGACTGCAGAAATATCCACGAGTGCACAGCCGCCGCAGACCTCCAAGACATCCGTTGCGGACTCCATGGAAGACTCCCTGCCCCTGACAACAGAAACCCTAAAGAGAGTTACCAGTGCCGGGAGCTCAAGCTGTCGCTTATCGTCAGTGGAGGCCAACAATCCTTTAGTGACACAGTTACTGCAAGGCAATCTGCCTTTAGAGAAAGTGCTGCCGCAGCCCAGATCAGGAGCCAAACTAGAAATTAACAGGCTTCCCTTGCCTTTGCAAACTACCTCAGTATGTAAAACAGCAGTGTCCGAGAGAAATAGTGTTGAGCATCCTTCCAACTCTCCTAATCCAGATGGTAAAGGTTTTGCAGCAGGCAGCATAGCCCCACTACAAATCAGAAAGCGTGAAAACCATCCGAAAAAGAGGATGGCCAGGACTGTAGGGGAACATGCTCAAATTAAATGTGAGCCTGGGAAGGTGTCAATGGACACAGATGTTAAAGTGGCTCCTTGTGTGATTAGTTCCAGCATGAATCAGCTAGGGCATGGTCAGCCGTTTAAGCAGGAGTGGCTGAACAAACATGCCATTCAGAGCCGAATTTCTCACAGCCCAGAGATCAAGCAGCAGAAGAGGCCGTTGCCTTCATGCAGTTTCCAGCAGAGCCTGTTTCACATTGATAAAAATGGCAGCTTTCACGCAGAAGCTAGTACCTCACATAGACAGCATTTTTACCAAATGTCCATGGCTGCGAGAGGCCCTGTTCCCACGGCAGCTTTGTTGCAAACTACTTCAAAAGGCCCACCTGGCTGCAACTCATTTGCTTTTAGCAGGCACCTGGAACAGAAGGGCTTGGGAGACGTGAATATTTCTACAGCAGCGCACCAGCTGAGGCTAGGAAGTGTGTTTTCCCCTAATATTCCAATCAAGGAAAGTGATGACATTGCCAGTGCCTCTCAAACTCTGCAGAGTAAAACATTAGTTCATCCCCCTCCTCCTCCTCCACCCCTGCCACCTCCTCCCCGTCCTCACCCAAATGCAGAAGTCCCCTCTGATCAAAAACAACCGACAGTTACTATGGAAACCACTAAAAGACTTAGTTGGCCTCAGCCAGCAAGCATCTGTAGCAATATAAAATCTGAACCTATTTCTTTTGAGGAAGGTTTAAGCAGCAGCTGCGAAATGGGCATGAAACAAGCTTCCTATGATCAGAATGAAGTGAAAGAACAGTTGAAAGCGTTTGCATTAAAGAATGCAGATTTCTCTTCCTATTTACTTTCTGAGCCACAGAAGCCTTTTACCCAACTTGCTGCTCAGAAAATACAGACGCAGCACCCACAGCAGCAGCAGCAGCAGCAGCAGCTCTGTGGAAATTACCCAACAATCCACTTTGGTAGCGCAAGCTTCAAAAGGACAGCATCTGCAATTGAGAAATCGATTGGGATTTTAGGAAGTGGCTCCAACGCTGCCACAGGCCTGTCTAACCAGAACGCACAGATCCCGGTTCAGAAATTTGCTGACAGTAGCAATGCCGATGAACTGGAACTGAAATGCTCTTGCAGGCTGAAAGCCATGATTGTGTGCAAAGGCTGTGGAGCCTTCTGTCACGATGACTGCATAGGGCCTTCCAAACTGTGTGTAGCTTGTCTGGTTGTACGGTAGGAACTGAATCAAAGATGCAGTATCCCTTATCAGCGTGGGAAAGCAGGACAAAGGAATGCAGAAATTGGAACAGTTTAGGCCACTAATGGTTTGCAATTAGTCAATTGATTTGTTTTTATTATTATTTTTAATATCTTTTTCTTCAACATGGTGCTTTCAGAATTTAGTTATTCCTGCCTGAGTGCCATTTTTTTGGGAAGAAGAGGAAACCTGTAGTAGTTGTTTAAGAAAAAAAAGACATCCTTGTTAGTGAAGTGTCAATGAGCTATTTTGCTGTGCTAAAGAAAAAAAAAGGCATTAATGCATGTCATTTGTAGCTTCTATTTATTTGCACAAAGTGCAGCACGTTTTTTTCTCCACTTTTTTGATAGTTGATACAAGCTGCAGCTTAAAAATCGGTGGAAGACTAACTGCAAGAAGTGGAGTAACTATGCAGAATGAATAACACACTGAATAGTGACTGTTCTGAGGGGGATAGTGGCAAGGTATGGGGTATTGGCCATTGTAGCTTCTAAGTTCTGTTTGCAGGTTTTCTGCTGATAGGATTGCTTTCTTCAACTGACTTTCACTATCTAGGGCTAAAATATAGCTACTTCACTTGGAGGAAAAAAGAAAAAGCAGTTTACATTGTTAGAGGAGTTTCCTTACATGCCTGCCAGGGGCTACGGAACTCACATCTTACTCATCATCTCTTCTTGTTGATTCCTTGGGAAGGATTTGTGTATGTGATGGGTTAGTGGGACCAACACTAGAATCACACTGGCTTCAGTAGAGTTTGGAGAAAGTAACTTCTCTACTGGGGATTAAAAAGCTGTCTTCTGTTCCTGTTTCCCACTCAAATATTCTTTATTTGTATTTGTCTCTTCATCTGTCCACTTGGTTTGTCAGTCCCAAATATATGTATTATATATAGGGTCAAATTTATGTAATACATTCTGGATGTTCTAGCCTTTCCATGGCCTAAAAATGATGCATTCTTATGGTGAATGAATAAGAAAAGAGTCTAATTGCATATTGGTTGAATATTACTTTATCAGTTGTTTTCCCTCTTTTGTAAGTTACTCTATTTAAATAACATCTCAAAGTTTTACTATTTAAAGTAATTCTTAGAATTACTTACAGCACTGACTTGTTTTGTTTTCTCAAAGGAATTCAGACCCCTTAACCTACCTTTTAGAAATTTGGAAGCAAAAGGCATTCTTAAAAGGGATACTGCATCTTTAAAGTAACCTTCAGTATTTATTCTGTACTGTATTTACATTCAGGACTATAGCTGCATTCCAGATGCGCTAGCCACTAACAGCAGAGAAGAAAAACAATGATTTGGGGCCCCTATTCACCTAAAAGGAAAATACTATAAAGGGATAAAGCACATGCAGTTGCTGGGGAGATGAAAATACCTTGAGTTTTTTTACTCCCACTTCAAGAACACAAAACATGGAGTGCAAGTCATCCATCTGCCAGTATGTGGTTGGGTCTGCCCAAATGTCAGCATCAGAGAGAAATGTGTTTTTTTTACCATTGCTGTAGAACCTCACTAATCCCAAGACCTTACAGTCTGTTCAAGAAAACTGATTTTCCTTCCACAGTTTTCAGAGAGCAACGTAGTAAGAATATGTGAGATGTAATACTGCTTGGATTTCATGATGCATTTAAGTGTTGCATTCAAAGGTATTAATGTGAATGATGGAACTACATTTAGTAAATAAAAAGTATGCTACATTTTACACTACACTTTTTTTTTATATGACCTTTGTTTGCATACTTATTCATAAGCTGTAATTGGTCTCCCTGCCATGGGTGCGTATTAGTGAGGTTCTACTGAATGGAGGAACCACATTTATTTTCTTGTGGGACCATTTTCATAAACATGATAAATGCCATTTATTGTCTTAAAAGTGAGTTGGAATATCTACAACATACGTTCCTGTCATAGGAAGCTCTATGGTGCACCTTGATGTTCTCTTTTATTGTAACTAGCAACATATCAAGATTATTTTTGACACTGTGTGGTACAAAGGCCATTTATAATTACACTAACAAATTTGTTGCTGATACAATAATATTATTTTTTTTCTATACAAAAGTGCTCCTTAATATGACGTGAGTTAAGAAATGGTTTCTCAGCACTTTCAGGTCTTCTGGTAGGAAAATAAGCCAGCCAAAAAAAAAGCTTGAAGTAACCACATGGAAATCAGCATCCAGTGTTACACCAGTTTCTAGCAAAACAGTGACTGGAAAATACTCATGATTAAGCATCAATGTAGTCAGTTAATGCATATCAAATTCATATTTGAGGAGCCTTTGTATCGGAATTGCATTGTGTTGTATTTATACTTGGTAGAGGTAGGATACTTCTATTTAAAATAAAGAGAGCAACCAGTGTTAGACTTCTAATAGCCTATGTTTATATAAGCCTGCTGGGAATCCTTATTTCTAGCTCAGGTTTTCCTGTCCACAGCACATAAGTCAATATTTGTTTGTACTTGCATCTTGAAATTCTTCTTGTATTGACTGACATAATACAGGCATAAATTCCAGCCACAAAATAGTTTTACTTTGTTTGAAGGATAAGAGTGTACTAATGTGGTAGGTAACTCATTCATGTCATGTTATTTTTGTATCAGGATTGCAACCTGCATGTGTGAGGTCGTGATAAAATGTTATTTAAAATGGCATTAGACTGGATGGTGCTATGTTATGTATTACACAACTGACCAAACTCTTCTGTAGTGCAGTTCCACTCCTTTCATTCTTGAGTCACTGGAGTTGCACCAGGAATAAATTTGACCAATTAGTTAGCAACAGTCATGAAATGTTGTTGCAGATTATAGTTTTAGGATATTAAAATACTCAAATGCAACTGCGGTGATATAGGAGCCTGACTGAACCCTAGTGCGACTGAAAACCTTACTTGGATTCTGGTATCGCACAAATGCTTCAGGGAGAGTGACCCTTGGTCTTCAGTAAGAACATAATCACATTTAGAAGTTAATTTCAAATGACTTCTTTTTTCTGTTTGTTTAATTGTCCAGGTTCCAGGCCCAATGTCATTTTATTTTCTAATGACCCCGCAGTTTGCACCATGGGGGTGTTAATAGTTTATGCACTGAAAAGTGGTGAAAGAATTGCTTAAGAACACACTGCTCTGTGTTTGCGTGTATGTGTCCCAATGTCCAGCGTGTATAATTTGCCTTTACTTTTTTTGTTTTAAATCTCCAAAATTCTTCCCCCACTCCTACCCCTGGAGCAGCACTTTTGGGTGAGAGGGAGACTCTTCTTTTCTTTCCTTCCTCTTTATTGTTTTAATTGCATACCTGTGAGATATGCAGATAACGTTAGGGCATTTGCAGTATGTGTGTTTGTGTGTTTCTGTTCTGAACTAATTTTCCAAGCAGAAACTCCCTTTGAAATAATGTTTAACAAAAAGAAATTAAGAAATGGTGAACTGGATGCTCCCTGTGTGCATTTTATTTATCTGCTGAGGTCTAGTATGTGAAATAGCATTTAAAAGACAAAAATAAAGGTTGAGCCATAAAGCAAAAGGTATATTCCCTGTACTATAGACTTTCTTCTTGAGGGTGGTGCATGTTGTCAGGGTAAGCTACAGAATATGCAGATGGTTTTCCAGGACCCTGCAATTCCTTGCACAGTTTTTAAACTGGTGCATATGGTGCTTTATAATGCAATTTTTGAAGTAAAATCACCTTATGCTGCACCCCCTTCCCCTTATAAACACACGCACAATTTCAGAATTGTTATTGTAGCCTCTGGTTGAGCAGTTTCTCCAAGGTGTGGTGAAGTACCAGGATAAACACTCAAGATGAGTTGAGAAACATCACCGAAAGGGATCATTTTAGCTGACACACGTGAAGGGCCCTGCTCCGAACACTGAGTGACTTCTGCAGTCTCCTGGCAGCAGCTCAGCGGTTCTTCTTCTGTGGCTCTGCAGAACACGGGGGGAAAGGGAAGCAACAAAATATTCAGTGGCTTTACCATGGACCTGTGTAGCTAAATGTTTCTGAATCTATGAAATCCTGTTGTCTTCTGTCATCATGCTTTGTCACTGTAAAACCAACAAAAAGAAAAAAAAGCGTTTTTTTAGTCTAATTTAAGGAGCTGCTTCTTTTATAGCACATATTTCGCTTTGTACTATATTTGATAGTTAAAGAATAATTTAGTCCGTAGGATAACTTTGTTGTATTTGTACTGTTCATGAATGTTACGAGAAAAGTGCTTTACTTTGTTGCCATAATTCTCTTGTACTGCTGTAAAATATTTTTCCTGCTTTATGGAAACTTAATTCACATTTTCAGTACAGGGTTTTTTGTGTGTATGTATTTTTTTTTTGTTGTCAGTATTCTGAATGTTTACATCTGTTCAACATTAGCCATTCTATGCCTTTTTAGGGCAGTGTTACTCCTGCAGTATAACAGCAATGTGAAATCCACTCGTACCTAACATGCATGAGAAATACAGATTTACTGGGGAGATCCCTAACGTGCATAGATATTTTTTCTATCTGCATTCAGTGAAGTAAGTACCCTCCTTCAGTCCTCTACCAAAGAAAATATTATTCCCACAGGACAAGCTCAGAAAGTGGTTCTCTGAATCTTCAGAAGGGGGTGTAGTTGGTTTCAGCGGGGTTGCTACAGTTCAATGCTGTTATGCTTTGCTTTGTTACCCCACCGGATGTGACTGGGTGAAACAAGCATTTTAGCGTTTTTTTTGGTTCAGGCAGTGTTTTGTTTAGAATTCAGGGATCATGCTTTCTTTAATGGTGCTCTTTGTTTGTTTGGGTTTTTTTTAAGAAAACAACCTTTTGTTGCCTACAGAAATGACCATTCACAAAACCAGAAGTGAAATAAAATAATTTGTCTTCATAACTTCTCTCTTCTCCCTTTCCTTTTCCCCTTCCTTATCCCTTGAAAATAACAACTTGGGCTTCGATATTAAAATATTCTGAAAAAAAAAAATAAAAAGATAAACTGATATTTGTCATTTGCTTATTTATTTTATGTTCAGTGCCTTAGGCAGGATATCCTGCTTGTGCACATCCATTGTATGTACAGGTATATGAAATAGAAATGTGAGAGAAAAATTGGTCCTTTGTAAAGGATTTTTCAATTACGATGATGTAAGACATAGTTTGAATGACTTCTGATGTAACTCAAGTATTAGTCATCTTATACTAGTAAAATAAAACTAGGTGTTGTATATTAAGTTGTTGTAAGTAGAATAGTTTGTATATGAAAGTGATACATTGTTTTGGGTAGTTAATGTTGGGTGCGTTTTAGTACTTTGCCTCTGTTTGCAACCTTGTCCAGAGCATGCTTAACAACTGTCCAGCCACGCGCCTCCATTACTTCTCATCCCCACAGCAGAAGAATTTAAATGTGCATGGTACGTGAAAGGTAACCAATACAAGTTATATTCCCCAAAGCAGTTATCTTTTGAAGTCTGGAAGGCCTTCATGAAGTGAAAAATTCAGTGGCCATTGTATTAAAAATTGAAAACAATGGTTTTTATCATGTTACACTGCAAAGAGAGCTTTGAGTACTAGTGGTTAGGGTGCAAGTGGTAGAGGGTGGGCAACAAATCGCTTTTCCGTAAACCTGCTCAGAAATACAAGTGTAGCACATCCCAGACACCACCTTTTGCCCAGCCTCCTGTTATCATTATTTCAGATGTGATACTATTGGAGGGTCTTGTCAGCAGCAAATGGCAGCCCTTTCTGCCAAAACCTATCCAAATGCTCAAAGAAGACAGCACCAACCTTTGTAGTTTATAATCTATGACCTTTTATTCATATCCAATACCCACCAAGCAAACTCCCTCCACTAGGATTGTCATGCAGATTATTTAACATTCTGCTTAGATACTTATTTTTGCATGGGTCTGTGCAAAATCAGGGAACAGCTCTGCTTCTGACAGTAACAGCTTTTGTTTTGAATTTTTTCATCTGAGCAATGTAGTGCAAATCTGTGTTAAATCTGTACTAGCTAAATATTCAGTTTTTTCCCTTCCATTGTTTTTAGGTTTTAAAACCAGAAAATATTTCTGCACATTTTTACACAATCTTAAAATATAATTATTTAGCTTTTCTCTGATGTTTGCTCAGGACCTTATAAGCATTAGTAAGTTAGACCTTGTGATTGCTTTTAAGTCTGTGCGCTCTCTTTAGGTCCGCCCAGACTTTGTGTAGCATTGAGCCAGCAGATGGCATCAAGAGAAAAGACGCTGCTGTGGTCTCTGGAGTTCCCTTGTCCCTCAGCAAAAGCACACAGCAGGGAGAAAGCCAGCTGCTAATACACAGGGAGTCTGGGTTTGTTTGTCTTCGCTGTGTAGCTTTAGTTGTAGCGAAAAGAAGCCCTCCTTCTCCCCCAGCTGTGGAACTTGGCTTTCAATACAAATGATGCCCCGGAGCTCACATCGTCCTTTCCTGCAGCTGGCACTGTCTGAGTTGTGCAGTCTGGAACTGAAGTACTGATACACTGGAAAAAAATTCATCCCCAGGCTAGAACAAGGGCATTTTTCTTACTGTTTCTTTTGCCACTCATAGATGAAGAGGCAGCAACACAGCTCTTTGCATTGGGGCACTTCACAAATACAAAGGTATTATCACTGCTTCGTGTACAGAGGGTGTCATCAAGCATGGACTTTGTTGGATGACACGGCTTCCAGCTGAAGGACCACCAAATACCTTTGAGCACCTCCACCTTGGAGACAGCTTTCTCTAATAAGGAAGGTAGACCAGCACTGGTATCTGATGGTACCTGCTTGTGGAGACTGAGTACTTCATTAGTACAGCTTTATGGAAACCAAGCTAGACACAGAAATAAAGCAACACTTGTGGAGATAATTCAGACATCTGGACTCTGGCACTTTACAAACACATAGCAGACATTCATGAAAGGAGTTCGTTATATCTCAGTTAAATCGCAGCCATTTACTTACAAGTACTGAAAGTCTGTGCTCCCAGCCTGGCAGGTGCCTGTTGCCTCAACAGAAATGATGAACTTGACAGTTGTTTCATATATCCATGGGAGAAAATACCTGGGTTGTACTTTTAGGAAGCTGATGACACCCTGGATAAACGTGAAGGTCTGTGTACAGATCACCTTTCTAAAGCCCTTCCAATCTGTGTCTTTGACCTAGTCTTGTACAGCTTAGTTCAACCTTCAGAGTCTTTATCTCCACGTCTTTCCAACAACACAAACCTGAGAGCTTTCACCCAGTATCTCTGAGTATCCTCATGCATGTACCACCAGAGCAGAGAGTGGTTTAGAAACCTACATAGAAAAAAACCACACCTGAAATTAAGCTGAATATATTGGATAAGTGACTTCTATAAATAAGAAAGCATGCTATATTGAGTAAATAAATCATAGAATCATAGAATTGTTTGTGTTGGAAGAGACCTTAAAAATCATCCAGTTCCAACCACCTGCCATGGGCAGAGATACCTTCCACTAGACGAGGTTGCTCAAAGCAAAGTGACTTGATATTTATATAAAGGAAGAGATAGCTGTTGTTTGGATTTGGGTTTGTTTGTTTGTTTGTTTGTTTGTTTTTTGTAGTGGGCCTTGTTAAAGTCTTTATTTGCTTCTGATTCTTTCCCAACTACTCAGATTTATTCTGCAAATCACTTCTTCATGTCCTCTGATCGTGAACTCTTAAGTCCAACATCTATTGTGCAGAATCTTTGCTATTGCTGCATGCGTTTCTGGCTTTTAAAGGAATCTGGGTGATTGGTGGGGTGATGGTGTATACTGTGTCTCACCCTTCACTCTTTGACTTACACATTGCGCAGAAAGGGATGGAGTCTTTGGGGAAAAGAATAAAATTAGCTGTGAAAATGCAATAATCATAACATAAATTCCTTGACTGCCTTTAGGTTATTGAATGGAATAGTCCAAACCTCCGAATTTTTAATGAATGTGAGCAGGAGCTGACCCATAGCAGCCAGAATAGACCATAGTCCTGGAATGCATCCAAGAGTGAGCATTTACAGTTCAGCAAGTCCAAATAAATGTCCTCAAAGTGTTAGCCAACACAGATAGGCTGTCATTGAAAAGGAGCATGGATAAGGAAGCAGTCAGCATAAAACTAGTGAAAATAGAAGTTTAGTTATGGTTTTGGAACAAGTGATCCTGCAATTTTTATTTATTTTTTTTTTATTTCAGCATCTGCGTAGAATTGCAAATATAGAGAAATCTTTGGTAGCTCTAAGTCGGGAGAGAAGTATCAATATTTAATAAAAAAAAAAAGATCCACATCTAGTTGGTAGTACAAAGTCATAGAATCATAGAATTAGTAGGGTTAGAAAGGAGCTTAAGATCATCTAGTTCCAACCCCCCTGCCATGGGCAGGGACTCCCCACACTAAACCATGTCACCCAAGTCTCTGTCCAACCTGGCCTTGAGCACTGCCACAGATGGACCATGCACAACTTCTTTGAGCAATCTGCGCCAGTGCCTCAGCACCCTCACAGTAAAGAACTTCTTCCTTATACCTTACTTGCACTTCCCTGGTTTAGTTTAAACCCATTAGCCCTCGTCCTGTCACTACAGTCCCTTATGGAGAGCCCCTCTCCAGCATCCTTGTAGGCCCCCTTCGGATACTGGAAAGGCTGCTATGGGGTCTGCACACAGCCTTCTCTTCTCCAGGCTGAACAGCCCCAACTTTCTCAGCCTATCTTCGTGCAGGAGGTGCTCCAGTCCCCTGATCATCCTTGTGGCCCTCCTCTGGACTTGTTCCAACAGTTCCATGTCCTTTTTATGTTGAGGACACCAGAACTGTACACAATACTCCAAGTGAGGTCTCATGAGAGCAGAGTAGAGGGTCAGGATCACCTCCTTTGACCTGCTGGTCACACTCCTTTTGATGCAGCCCAGGATACGGTTGGCTTTCTGGGCTGTGAGCTCACACTGAAGCTGACTCATGTTCATTTTCTCATCGACCAGCACCCCCAAGTCCTTCTCTGCAGGGCTGCTCTGAATCTCTTCTCTGCCCAGTCTGTAGCTGTGCCTGACATTGCTCTGACCCAGGTGTAGGACCTTGCACTGGTCATGGTTAAACTTCATGAGGTTGGCATCAGCCCACCTCACAAGCATGTCAAGGTCCCTCTGGATGGCATTCTTTCCCTCCAGCGTATCAACCAAACCACACAGCTTGGTGTCATCGGCAAACTTGCTGAGGGTGCACTCAATCCCACTGTCCATGTCAGCGATGAAGACGTTGAACAGGATCGGTCCCAACACCAACTCCTGAGGGACACCACTCGGTTACTGGTCTCCAATTGGACATTGAGCTGTTGACCACAACTCTTTACATGTGGCCATCAGCCAATTCTTTATCTAACCCTCCAGTCATAGGAGCCATCCCATCATGTTTCTGTGATGCCAATGATATCATACCCCCATAGGTGTGGACACATCTCTTATTCCTCTTGCTTACTCCCCATACTATGTGCATTTGTGTTGTGGTTTAAACCCAGCCAGCCAGCTTGTTCAGTGACTCCCCCCCTTTTCCTCCCTCTTTCTTTCCTTCCCCCCACCCCCTGCCCCTCCACTCCCGGACGGATGGGGAGGAGAATCGAAAGAATGTAACTCCCATGGGTTGAGATAAGAACAGTCCAGCAACCAATGTACAACACAAATCACTGCTGCTACCACCAATAATAATAATGACAGGGGAAATAACAAGGGAAGAGAACATGAGACCACCTGCCGAAAACAAGTCCGACCCAGAAGACCCGGTGTCCTTCTGGGTAACTCCCAGTTACCTCCCCAGGCGTGACATGCTGTGGTATGGAATACCCCCTTGGTCAGTTTGGGTCAGGTGTCCTGTCTCTGCTTCCTCCCAGCTTCCCCTCCTCCCTGGCAGAGCATAAGGCTCAGAAAGTCCTTGGTCAGGGTAAACATTACTCAGCAACAACTAAAAACATCCGTGTTATCAGCACTGTTCCCAGGCTGCAAGTTGAAACAACGCTGCACCAGCTACCAAGAAGGAGAAAAATTGAATGCCACTGCTAAACCCATGACAATTTGTATAAAACAAAACAAAACATAACATAACAACTACATAATTTGCTGGCTGGTTCTTAAAAATAGCTGTTTGAAGGCACTTTACAGTATTAGTGGTTAGCAAATTTGAAAGTTACTGTATGCTCACCATTTTTCAAATTAAGGGTCTTTGCTTTAGTTTTCCAAAATTGGAAT